TTTAAGCAAGCAGTCTGATAGGTGCTATTATTTGAAACATATCAGTGTTCTTCACCACAACATACAGATGCTAAAGGATCCATTTCCAAGTGTGTTTGTGCAAGGACAAATTTTTAAAACACTTTATAGTAATAGCTCAAGCCAGGTGGTTAAATTGTATTGATCCAAAAGGCTTGGCACCTTGCAGAAGATTACACACCAATTTTCTTCTCTGCAATAAAAATAAGAGATTAAAATAAGCATTATAATTTAAAGATTTTGCTGGAGAATTTATTTTTAATTCAGTTAAAAATATGTTCTTTCCGTTCATAGTAAAAGCTAAATCTTCTGCTTTATTGCCCATAACATTTATTGGAGAAATAGCAGTTTTGCTAATAAACTTCTTCCTCCTTTTATAAACAATTAAAGGAAAAGCTAACCTAGCAATATCCTGCGAAAGAGAGTTGCTTTTATGCTGCATCATTAAAGTGCTAAGCAAAACAGAAGTCACACAGCAAATGAAGTTGTTCACAAGCTTTTTTTAAAAATGATTTAAACAATACAGTTTCACAAACTATTCTGGTGTTTTACTTACGAGGACACAGAGACTAAATACAAACACCATGTGTATGACTTTGCTTTGCTATTTTTCTGAAGCATGTCCCATCACTGCAGTTCAGCACCAGGCACGTCTAGGCAGAAAAGCAGTCTGTTCAACATTTTATCACAGAAGTTGATGAGAAGCTGACTCTTTGTCAGCACTGACAAAGCAATATCGTAATAATCACGAACACACAGACATTTGCTTACTGCATGCCACTGCAAGTATACCTGTAGCAGTCTACAAGATAAACTGGAAGCTGTGCAAAACTGCAGCAGGCACCTGTGGATGTGAGGCTCACAGTGCCTTTGGTCATGAAGTGTAGAAGCACTCCCTTAATGAGCAGGTAAATGAATCCAGTGCCAGAGTAAACTAACTGAGTATGTAAGAAACAGATGTGTATGGTGACTGAAAAAATTCTAAATATCTCAGCATCAAAAGAACAAAGATGTTAATACTTTTATTATGTTGGTTTTGCTTTTGCCCAGTCTGAATAGCAGATTGCATTTCCAGAATAAATGTTTCCAATTAGAGGATGATTGTGAGTTTGGATAAATAAGATGCATGTAACAAATTATAGAATATTTGTGACAGAGTTGCTGTAGAAGCTGAAAACGTCCTTCAACACCCTTTAAAAAGGGCTTTTCTATTTTTTCAGTGCATTATTTTCTCAAGAGAGATACAATACTGGCAGATTAGTAAATCTTACAGACTTGCAACAAACTTGAATAAAAGAAATTATGCATGTTCCTGTAGGTGTTCCCAGATGTAGGGCATTGTTTCCTGTAAGAGAAAATAGCACAATGTTGGGTGTATCAGATTCCTCCCAAATATATAGCAAGCAGCACTTTCAGTTCACTGTAACCTACTCATAACCAGCAGAACTTCAGTCTGAAACACCCATACGCAGACTGACAGTGCATCACAGCACTCGTCTCTCTTTTTCAGACTCATAAAAATGCATTCAATCTGATTTCAAGTTATTTTTTGCAATAATTCACCAGAAATAATAGGTGCACAGTTGTAACGAGACGAAGTTTTGCAACTAGCTGTTTTCTTATATTCTAGTACAAAGAGAATGAATTAAAAGCAATAATGATGAGATGTTTTGTAAATATGATAATAGTTTATCAGGAATAGCTCATTAACTTCAAAGAACACTGGGACAAATAGTGTGAAGTTGTAACTACACTGATGTGAAAGGCAGACTTTCCATGAATTACCATGCTTACACTCTGATCCCTTTGTCAACACCTCTTATTTAAAAAGATGATCAATTTCCACTTCCACTTCCTATTTCTTTTGCAAATTTCAACCTCATTCCTAGCATTCCACTTTACAGAACAGATATTTGGGTTGCAGATATTAAAAAAACCTGCTATCCAGAGAATACAGAACGCCTTTAATGACATGCTTTTGTTGTTTTTTTTTTCTTTAAGTTCCTGAATTTGGGAGAAAAAAACTTTTTAGTTCTCACATCATCAAACGAAGCATTTTTCTTGCAAACAGTTGGGCAGAGATCAACGGTCCACGTGATCTTTACTACTGGTTACTTTTGTCACGGTAGATTGCATTGTTTGTTTGTTTTTTGTTTTTTACATTAGTTGATTAAAGCATTTTTTAATAAAAAAAGAAAAAAAAGATCAAAAAATCAGTACATTATTTCCAACATTAAGTTCTTTTCAATCTTGTCTACACTACTTTAATACTGCTTTTATAATTAGTTACCTTAAGTAACACACAACAAATAAAATTTCCAAAAATGCTTAATCTTTGACATAAACATCATATTCAGGAAGATTTGGAAGAGAAATCTGCAGTGTCAAACTGGGTAACAAAGTTGGAGACAACCCACGAGGAAGTGACTCAGGTGAGTTGTAGGCAGAAGATGAAAATGCTACATTACTCTCTCAGACGGTGCCCTTTTTTCTCTTACAGTTCTAATTAACTTTTTTTTTTTTTTAAAGGTCAAAGAGAATTGAACGGAATTTACCAATTAACAGATGAGTCCCTAAAAAAAAATAAAATTGTTTGGACAAAAAAAGATTGAAAAAAAGGTATGTAAAGGAAATACATGGAAGCACTACTATGCGTGCAGCACCCTACAGTACCTTGAGGCCCTTCCGATTTTCTTTCCTAAGTATCATTGACTTAAGTGCATGCTAAATTACTGATGTTTGTTTTATAAAATCACCATTTTGTACGATTTACATCCAAGAAGAGAACTTTATTGGATGAGAATTAGTGATGGAACGTAAGCAGAATATTTCAATACAGTTATGAAGAAAATCCATAGGATAGTATTTTCTCTGTTCTACAATAAATACTGATGGGTCACAAATACTTTTAAAATTAAAAAAATCTGATTTCAGGTCCATTTTCGTATTCCATTTTTTTTCTGCTGAAGTGTTTTAATAAAAGGAAATTATTCTGGGGAAAGTTATAACTAGGCTAAGGCCACATAAAATAATCTAGCCCAGAAAACTGACAACGTATCTCACTGTGAGATTGTATCATGGAGGAGAGTCACAACACTTCAGAACTAGAAGATAGATATGCACATGAAACGTTTTATTTTCATTTTCTATCAAGAGCACTATAGGCAATTCATCCATTTGCAAAAAAATTTAAATAAGATTTATAAAAATTCAAATGCAGTTTATCTGCCCTTTACTAAACACTCAGATGTGCCCATTCATGAACGAATCACTGTCAGTAGAGACTCCCTGCTGTTCTGCATACACATCTGTGATTAATCTTCTTTATGTAAGTTAAACAACATCACAATGACTAGAAAAATCTACAAGAAAATCAGAAGCAAAGGTTAAGAAATAACAAAAAGTGGGTAGAAGTAAAATAAGAGGCCTGAGAAAACTTGTACTGCCTGAGGTAAAAACGTACTGATGTTCCTGCTTATGAACTGAATTTGGTTTTATACCCATCAAGGAAAAGGTGTCTTTTTAACTTGCGTACAGTTAACAACTCAAAGTAAAAACCCTTGTGACAGAAGGACACCTACACAAGGAAAAGTAGGACAAGGCAAACTGTATGGAAGAATAAGACAATATTCAGTGTAGGTGTTTACATCAATAAAGTACTTAGTATAGCCCAACTGAACTTTCACTGAGCAACTTGGGCCCTCTATCTGCCAGCTTATTGACCAAGATAGACATTAACCTTCATGACCCTGCCAGTGTAGGAAACTCATGATGCATCCTGTCTTCAGCAAGCTTTTACTTATTTTTACCATATATTAACTACCACAAAGCAAAAGCAATTTTTTTTCCTAAGAAAAACAAACAAGGAGATTTTTAATATAAATTAATTCAAAACTAAACCATAAAATAAAAGCTAAAATTAAACACATTGTAAGGAAGGAAGTAACAATAAAAATATAAGGAACTAGAAAATTATTTGAAGGAATAACTATCGCTAAAAGAAACCACGCCTGATGGTAATTAAATGATTACATTAACAACCCTCATGTAATACCTTTGCGAAGAGACAACTCAAAAGAGAAATCATAGCACTACTTCTACATTTGGTTTTCTCTCTGCATTGGATATAAATTCAGCCCAGTATTTCTGCATCAGGATGCTTTTTATTTTACATTTATCAGCATGATAAGTTCATTTTAAGATGTAAAGAAGTTCAGGATCACAATGAAGGCTGGTACTGCAATCATCTTGGCTTCATGTCATTGGTACAATAAACTATAAACCCAGAAAGCTCACTTTATTTAAATTTATTACGTCTACCATAAAGAATGCATTTAAATCAGTATTGTTTGCCATGCACTAAAAAACAACATGCCAGCCTATTTTCATTCTGTGACTTCCACAAAGATATTTAACATTTAACTGCCCAAGAAAACATACAGCATATTTAAGGTGTCATATTTACAAAGACAAAACTTGAAGACTAACTTGGTGCAAATAAATGCCGTCAGAAGACCAGATCTATTGCATTTCTTATTGTATGTATATATGTGTATATATAGGCTTATATGTATATATAGGCTTAAGCTTCCTCACAACATATCTCATGACATAGTATTTGACAGAAACTTAACTTGAACATTTGGACTTACTTGAGCTTTTACTAAAAACTTCGTAGATGATTAAAATAGAACACCAAAAATACCTTCCGTCATCTGAAACTGGCAGGCAAAAATCACCATCTCAATTTAAACTGAACCACGCCACTTGTGTAGGAATTTAGTGCGACCCACATCTACTTTGAATGAATTAACATCTAAAACATGGTCAAGTCTATCTTGTCTGTCTAGTCTATCTGTCTATCAAGTCTGAATTTTTCAGCAGTACATAAATCAAGAGAATTACCTCTTTGTTTCTCTGAATGTTGGGTAAGGTACCAAGTGTCACCTAAAGGTGATAAACAGAGTCATCTTGTTACTCACCAATAAAGTAGTTGTTTCCTAACGCAAGCATTTCTTCAGAAAGTACAAGTCCACCCAGTGCCTGGAGAAGAGTGACACTTCTGCCATCAATGAGCGAACACTGCTTAAATCCAGCAGTTGTCACCTTCCATAGTAGGATAAGCGAAGCAGTAGCATCTTGTCTTATTCTAAGAAAATAAACGACAAGAATATTTACATATAGTGGGGGAAATTGGTCTTAAAGTATATCAGAACAAAAAGCTTATTATCAGAGAAGGAATACTTAAATATGGTGAATATGGAATCATGAAAAGGTCTGAAGATTTTCATCACTTCCACCAAATTTAAAATATTTTTAACAGTAACATCTGTATAATGGTATACCTAAGCAGATTTAATCATACAGAGTCTCAATTTCTCATACTGAAGGACAGCAACTTGGAGTTCAATAACAGTTTTATATAAAACGCTACCCAACAGTAGCCTTGTTCACTATTTGTATTTATATCTTTTTAAATAGTAGCTCTACAGCTAGAATGCTATCATTTTCTGCAACCGAAACACATCCAACCCTCCTACCTACTGAAGAACATTCAACATTCATTCAATACAGGGGATGCTGGTAGAAATCCTCTTTCATTTGCTACACCAGATCGAAGGTTTGGAACTGTTTATTCTTGTAAATCAAATGAGTTGTGTAATGCTCTCAAGGTCACTGAGTTCATGGTGCCTTCCTGAATATTGATGGGTTGAATAAGCATATACAACTGTTTATGCACTGTCAGATCCACTAGGGAGCACTATATCTATATTGGTGTCGCTTTCCTCTTAGGATACTTTTTTCCACTAATTTCAATAAAGAAAAAATAAAAACCTATCTATAGTATTTCTGGCAAGATCCCAAAAAATTTGCATTAATTTCACCTAAACGGATCACCATTGAGTATGTCCAATCCTTCCAAAGTTCAATCATAACTCATAACCATCCTACTGCTGAAACACTGCTAATTCTGTCTTACTGAAAAGAAGCCCCCAGATACAAGGGGTAGACACTCTGTTGCACAATTTCTTCTGCTAAAAGTGTCTCAATTCTACAAAAGCACAGTGTGGTGTCTCCCTTTTTTATAAATGTATATAAAAATATTTTATATACATATACATCCATTTATTTATTTATTTTACAAGAAATGTAAAGTTTTCTCATTGTACTTGACATGAGTTGATAAAATACTGTGACCATATCAGATAAGTAAATTTTTGTCAGTATTTTGGGTCAACTTTAACATAAAACCCCATCACTACTCCCAGAGCTCAATGCCTCATTTTCAGTAACAACTTCTGTTAATATGACAGCAACCATTTAGGTCACCCATAACAATCAGAAGAAAAGAAAATCACTGAACGGAATTTTTTTGTTGTTTATGTATTCAGCCATTGAACCAGAAATGTTATTCAGGTCTTCAACAAAGGAAATACAATGGAATGAAGATAGATATCAGCTTGCATTAATCAACCAAAATAAAAAGCTACTAAAGGTAGATAGTATGAAAATGACAAAAAGCAACACTGCGCACTCCACAAACTCATTTATAATGAGGACATTCCATCACGGGTCTTAAATACAGCCGTAGAATCTACAAATGTCAGCTTATTCCTGATTTAAAAAAACAAAACACACACATTCACAGATCTGCTCCCTACTTAAGCTTCTCATGAATGAGAACGATTCAAAGTCCCGTGGGAAGCATAGGACAGCTCCCACGTTTAACAGTTACAGCTTCAAACTGTCTGCAGCTTGTCTGCTTGCAGCAGTTTGTTTTTTTCCAGTGAGCAAGGCCTTTTTTAACTGAAAGCTGGCATTCTGAAAGATAAGATGACAGTATGAGAAAAGTAGGCTATTTTGGGAAAATGTGAGCCTAAAATTGCAGTAAAGCTGTGAGCCAGAGAACTGTGTTGGCAGATTTTTATGTGAAAACGAGTTTTCAATAGGAAATGCCTCATACCAGCTGACAGAATCAGATCTTTCTAGGAAGCCAGGTTCTGATAATTAAAAGTTACAAAGCAACCCTTTTATTGAAAAACTATCAGTTCGAACGTGTTTAACAGAGTAAATTCCAATTTTCTAAAATTGGAATTGGTTTGCAAGACATTCACATCAAAGATTTCAGCTGATTGACAACACCCAAAGCAATATTCCAGAAATTAAATATAAATGATAAAATAAGTGTAATTATTTAATCAATAACTACTTTCCACCAACAAGTGAATCTTATACTAAAGGGAAAAAAAGTGTTCACTGCACGAAGGAGAAAGGAAACACATCTTTTCAAAACTGACATCTTCAGAATATTTGCCCTGATTCCTAGTGCATTCAGAGTCGGCTTACATGCTTACATCTTCTGAAACATTAAGTATGTGGGAGAAGTTACACCAAGCAAAGAGCTGTCACAGCAGTGCTAGATACATGAAGGCTTTCTGAAGTTATTTCATGTACTTTTAACCATTTGACAAACCTGTGTATCTGAAAAGCAGTTTTCTAAAATACCCAGGCAAATTAAAAGAAAAATGCTTTTATATTCCATAAGAAATATTTTTACTTTATTGATGTATTCTGTGGAACTTCAAAGGAGACAAGACGGCCTCCAGCAGAGGTATTGGAACTGGCATTTCCACAAGCCACATCTGGAAGTATCTGAAAATAAAATTAGTTTTATTTAATACTGAAGCACAAAATACAACAAAAGATGATTTTTTTTTAATAGCACTAATAATACAGTAATCATCTTTTAATAATGGATCAAAACACTTACTGAAGTATTTATGCTGTCATTAAACAATATGAAAATTCATATAAACATCCTTTCCATTTTAACAAAACTTTCCTGCACATGGTCATGCATGGACTTCTAAAGGTATCTTCCTTTAAAAGTGACCATATAATTTGAAAAGATGGATGGGCTTCTAGTCTTGTGAGTTACTAACTAAAGCTCTAAGATTTGCTACTTCCATAAATGTTGCATCACTAGCAAGAGATTTTTGAGGATTTATAACAGCAGTCACTGGTACTGTCTTTTTACTATATGGAAATCTGTTGGGTGTTTTTTTTTTTTTTTTTTCAAACTCAGATTACTTTTAAACATATTCTCTGCATTGCTCAAACAAGGCCTAAAACTACTCTTTCCAAGCACAAGTTGTTTCAACTAATGAAATGTTTTCCAACGGAGAAAAATCACAAACACAGCTGAGAGCTAGGAACTGATTTGCCTAGTCTGATAATCAGCTGGTATGGAAATTGTGAACTAGAGCAAGAAACAATACAGAATGCCATACAACAAAGAATCATACAATGGCTTGGGATGGATGGGACCTTAGCAATCATCTAGTTCCAACCTCACCATCGTTGGCTGGTTGCTCCCCTCTGAGCAGACTGCCCAGGGCCCACCCAACCTGGCCTTGAACACCCCCAGGCATGGGGCCTTCATAACCTCTCTGCGCAGCCTGCACCACGGCCTCATTCACTCCGAATAAAGAATTTCTTCGTAATATCTAACCTTATCTCCCCTCCTTTAATTTAAAACCGTTCCCCCTTGTCCTATCAATACCAGATCACATAAGAAGTCAGTCTCTCCAGTTGATAAGCTCCCTTGAGTACTGAAGGCTGCAATGAGGTCTCCCCACAGCCTTTTCATCTCCAGGCTGAACAACACAAGCTCCCTCAGTCTGTCTTCATAGCAGAGGTGGCTTCCTCTGGATCCTCTCCAACAGATCCACATCATTGTAGAATAATAATTTATTAGGGTAGTTTGAAAACCATTACTATTTTCAATGACATCTTCATTTCATATAAGTAATAATTTATATGGCATAATTTTTTTTTTCCTATCGCTTACAATATGTGTAGTTTTTATTAAGTAGTTCATCAACAGCTTACCTATGAAATATCACCCTAGTGAAAAAAAAAAAAAACAATGTCACCTTAAAATTAAGGTTAAGCAGATTTTGCAACATTATTATTTCAATCATCTGGAATGTGTGTGCAACCTTTTCATGTTAGCCATACTGACAAAGTGAAAACAGATGCCTGACACACTGCCATGAATTAATCATTCATTACTGAAAAATCAGAATCTAACTTATAATTTTATTTATAATTCACATGTTAAATGCTACCATGGAATATCTGTGAAAATACAAAAAACAAAAGTCCAGAATATGATACAAAAAATAACTGTTAAGGGACTCAGAGTTGACTTTGACTCAGACAAGAAAAATTCTCTGTATTCACATCTCCCCAAAAATGTGCATGATTACTCAACTCATTTCTTCATTGCTGAATTATCTTGCACATATAATATGTATGCAGTTTATGAAAATAAACATGTAACTTATGAAAATAAAAATAAATGCAATTTTTTTTTAAGAAACTCACCAAAAAGAAAAAAGATAATATACCTATTAAAACTGGAAGTCAAAATTATTAAGCTGATGTTCAAAACTTGATGAAATTAAAATGAGTTTGGCTAACACTCTTTTTATATACTTTCCCACATTCATAATATTTTTTTCTTTGAGAATCTGTATGTCTCAGTGTATCGAAGTCTTTATTCTCATACTCTTACAAGTGCATGTAACAACATATTCAGTGTTAGAATATATTTTCAGAATGTCTTGTATCTACTACCTTAGATCACAAGCAGGAAAACAAAAATAATTTAAGCATCTCCTTTACCTTACTATTCTATATTAGAAGCTTGGAAGTAAACAGTATACAACTCTTGGAAACTTAAGGACAAAAAAGCTCATGAAGCAAGAGTGGCTGCATAACGAGCAATTAACCCTGTGAAAATCCGCAATAGTTCAAAAAAATTTTCAAAGCTTTCAGAAGTAAGGACTGTTCAGCATAAAAAACACAAGCAGGAAATATTCTTTGGTAACCAAGAAAAGCGAAAAACAAAATGCATGTTTGACTCCTCTGATAAGATGATTTGTAATGTTTGATTTCCATCTCCAAGAAGGAACACCATTTATAACTGGCCTTGATTTCATGGACTAAGAACCTCCTAAAATATTTATCTAAACCAGTAGGATGTGAAATAACAGAATTTCACAGCAGCTGAAACTTCACTTTTTTTCTATTACAAAAAATGGTACTTGGATCAGACAAAACATACAAGAAGAAACAGCAGCATCCATGAGGAACAGAAACGGTGCCAGCACTACCCTATTTGAGACAAATACTACAGAGACAAAAATGACAGCTCTGACATCTAATTTAGCAAATAAATCACATAGCTTTTCCATAGCTCTGGGAAGCTTGTATAACGATTTTTAAGCATGTGTATCTCCTTTCTGAAGAGAACTCCTAAGAACTGAAAGGCTGAAAAATAAGGACAAAGAAGACAAGTACATTACAATAATGCAGGGCAGTCAGAAGATGAAAACAACCTGTGGGTCTCACTCTAAGAAAAAAAAAAAAAAAAACAGTAGGAAATTTAAAACAGAACTCAGGAAAACATAATGAAATTATTTTCAAAATGTAAAATAAAGAGTCCATGATAAACCCTGCCTTACTATTCCAATTGCTCTTTAAATTTAAAAGTGAAATGGCTAAAGTCAAAAACACAAACAGTGTCAAACACTTGAAGTCATTTAAAAATAATCTGTGGAAAAAAAAAATAAAAAAATCATATGTTGGCAATGAGATCAAAGTCTTCCAAAATTCCCCTGCTGCACTAAGTAGCACAGAACCTTTAAGCCAGCAAGGAAGTTCCTCAGGGAACAAACCACAGATACAATACAAATGATGCAGCTATTTTAAAAATAGTTGCTAAAGAAAACAAAATTTTGATGCACCTGCCAGAGCCTGAGCATGCTTAGGAGCTGCTTACGAAGATAATCTCACACATCAGCACAGACTATTCTGAAGATTTTATGCTCCTCAACATATTACTTAGAGTTTGGGAATTTTTGAACTGTTGACATGAAATATAGTATTCCTCTTTTTGTATTATATTCTGTAAATTTGTATCTAAATTACATTACTGGTGGATTTCTTTCAAGCAGAGAACTTAATACATAAAATCCATATTTTTGTTTCAAAGATGCTAACAGCATTAACATCTTGAGTCTTTCTATGACAAAAAGAAGAGAATCATTTGAGAAAACAAGAGTGAAATCTCCTGAAGAGGATCTGTCCCTACAACTTCCAGCTGGAATTTAAAAAAAAAAAACAGTGACTTGGCTGAAAGATTACTTAACCAAGCCAGAACATCAGTGTTGATGAGACTGAAAAGAATATCAGCTGCAGTACCTAGGAAGAGTTAAACAGACTCTGCTTTTCCATATTAGATCTTTTCTGAAAATATTACACAGTGTGAATTGTGCAGATATTCTTCTGCCACATACACTAATATATAGAAAGAAATACACACACCATTCTACAAGTCCTGCAACACAGACAGATCCCAGGGAAGTATTTTTGCATGTGTGCTTTTATTACCTTGGTAGATTAAGCATATTAGCCTTCAGCTTGATGAGGCTAAGAAACACAGAGACTCTAAGTCTACATTTATGCTAGAATACATATATGCTGTCTAGCACTACTGAAAGTAGTTCTCTGAAGATATTTGTTGAAATGAAGTTTCCTTGCACATTTCTTGGATGGCTGACCACACAGACAGTTGTATTTCTACAAAGCCTTAAGCACACTGACAGGCTAATCCTCAACAGTGCAAAATACAGTCACAATGCTACAGCATTATGTGTCCATTTGTTTGATATCATAACCCTTCAAGTTTAAAGGATTGCAAAAATATTTTACTTCTTACAAAGCACTCCATACCTTCCTACGATATAATAGTCTGGAAGCGGAATCACCAAATTCCCATTAGCCTCAGCAGTTCTTCACTACTCTACTAACAAGATAATAATGAATGTTTCTGAATACTAACAAACACTTCCAAACACTGGAACATTTTGGCCAGGTACACTGAGGACTCTTCAACCGTGGAGATATTCAAGCCTTGACTGAACACTTCTGAGCAACCTCAGAACTTCTAGCTGCCTTGCTTTGAGCAAGAGAGATGGACTGGACAATCTCCAGAGTTCTCTTGCAAGGTCTTCTAGGCTGTGATTCTGTGAGAAAAAAAAATCATCTCATAAGGCAGTTGGTTGCTATCTCTTTCTTGTAATTGCCACTGCCATTTCAGTGACACCACAGCATATACAGAACTCCATTCCAACATTCTAGGAGTGATTTTTTTTTAATAGAAACATAGCCAAACGTTACTCAAATAAGCAAACTCATGCACACACTAGTATATTTTTAAGCTACACTTTCCTCCTCTGTGATCTCTGATGGTTCTCTGTTTTTCTGTCTCTGAAACCTTTCTCCAGTTTTCTCTCCTAATGCATGAACAAGGAAATCTGCATAGCCATGAAGCCAAAGTTGGGAAGATTGGTCAGGAATTAAACAGAATACATGAATGCACACATTATTACCCACATTTGTCTGAAACTAAATAAAAGAGAGGAATATAATCTTATAGAAAAGTCAAGACTCTTTGGGGGCTGGAACTAGATTATCTTTAAGGACCTTTCCAACCTAAGTCATTCTAAGAAGTAGTACTTAAAAGGAAAGAAAAAAAAGGTAAGGTCTGTGCTTAAAATTTTAAACAGATTTGAAAAGACATTAGGTTAATAGAAAGAGTAAGAAAACTGGTCCTTTGAGAAAAATAAGACTGCACTCGGGTGGCCTCCCATGAAAGTTCACATGGTCATTAAGAAAGATGGCCTTTCCTCTTCAGTAGCACAGAAACAGAGGAGATGAATGAGGTATGAAGAATGCTCTCGCAAATGCTTTTTGAAATCTTCTTCCAAATGATTGCATATTAACTTTAAATTCAATAAAGTAAGTTTCAGAAATTACAGTTTTGCCCTTTCTAAACATGTAATGAAATTTCTATCAAGATAAGGCCTGCACAATTTCTTCTTTTCTTTGATTCTTTAATTTCTTTAATGGTGATGAGAAGTATCTTTTACTTTCTAAAAAATGTGAAACATTTGTCAGCTTTCTTTATGCAAGAGAAAAATACTACAGAGAATTTAAAACAGGTATGATGTTGACTAAAAGATCCAGAACTGCTGTCTGCAGAGAATTACAAAGAGAAGTCACAGGAAAAGAAAACCCAATGCAATAGCATGTGAAATGGGAGATCAGTTACTATCTTCTTTTAGTCAAAATGCCAATAAATAAGCCATGATCATTCTGGCACAGAAATCCCATTCAGGACAGATTTGTAAAAGAAAAGCAGTCCCCTTATCCAGCTGCATGGAAAAACTACTGCTTCTAAAAAGCTGGTGTCATTTAGTTTAAACCCCACAAGTATATTTGCCTCTACCCTCGAGAGTTTCATATGGGACGATGCTTGAAAGAAAACCAGAACAGAAAGAAAATGAAGGCTTACATCTAACATATCTCAGCAGTGGGAGAGGAAAGCAGAAGTGTTTAGAGTAGGAGTGCCTCTCTAAAGAGCACCAAGAGAAGGCTGACAGACTGAGTCCAAAAACAGTATCAAATGAAGAAGCCTTGCCAGCTATTGTAGCACTGAAATTTAACACAGGGAAGTCTGCATATCTACCAAAAAAATTCCGTCAAAGGCATTTTTTGAGTATAGCTCAGCTCATCTGACCTAAAGTGGTTTGAGCAGTCAGCAGTCACACTGCCAGCAGGATCTACTAACCAAAGATTCTGATACGGCAATCCTCCGGTAACACCAATAAATTTTTTTATTCATGCCACAGGTTACTACTATTAATATTACATCAAGTGGTAGATGCTTATCTAGCTTAGTAGGTTATCTTACACTCTCAGATAAATGACCAGGTTAATCATGTTAAACAGATGCCTTCTTGTCTCAAGCTGACCACCAAAATGAGGGGCCACATTCATAAAATCTTCCAATAAATCATTCAATCAATATTATTTCCTTGAATGGTCATTTTTACGCCGTAGTGTGTGAAGCTGTTCTGAATAATACAGATAAGCATCATGGAAACAAGCTCATAAAGCAAAAAAATCCACATCAACAGATCTTGAAGTGAAGATTACAAGCTCAGGTCATTGGAGAGGATGCTACGATGTAAACCGAGCCAAAGTCTGTCAGGTCAGTCAGAGGAACTTCTTCTCCATGTATTTTTGCATCAAAACAATGATGCACCCATAGGCTATTTCAACAACAACAAAAAAAATGGATGATCTTTTAGCAACAGGGAATGCACTCAAGATTCAAAGGTCTCCCTTTCAAGGAGAATTATTCCTTAAGCATATCCATCTGTTGCAGTACATGAGCTTTAGAAGCTTCCACCTGGACCAGCCACACTAATTTAAAAGACATATAGTGTACTGACTAAAAACCCATATAAAACAAGGTTTGTCCACATTGCAAAGAGAATTACAAGTTTATTGTAGCTCTAATCACTAGTTCCAAAGCCCAGAATCATAGCAATAGCATTGGAGTATAAATAAAACGTTAGTGTAGGACTCCTGTGGTTAGCATTCTAATTCCTGGCCATGTATCTGGCAAATCACTCTACTGCTCTGTGCTTCAGTATCTCCATGTACAAAATGTGAATAACACTACTGATTTCCTTTGTAAAACAATTTGAGAGCTATTAAGAGAAAGTAATATATAGGAGTGAGGCACTGCTATTGTAACAGTTGATTTTTACGCAGAAACCTTTGTTGAATCTATTATTTGATTAGAATTAATGAGATCATTCTTTTTTTTCCTATTATTCAGTAATATCTATCTTTTTTACACTGCAATACAAAAGATCATTGGACTGGGGAAGTTTCGATTGCCAGTTTTATCTGCCTTGCAAGTGGAACAATTAATTTAGTTGCCCAAAGCAGGAAAGAAAGATCTCTCTTTTGACACCTGAGCACAAAGATAAACCCTTGTTATATTTCAGAAATCTTCAGTGTAATATTTTTCTCTTTATGGTCTGTGTTTATAGACCTTAGCCTGTTTATCAGGAAAAGACTAATTTGTTATAGTAAGATCAGTGAGAGAAATGTTACAGTATCCAAAGACATCTGCATGTTGTCTTCTGGTGCAAGTCTTACTGGGAACATCTGGTCAAATACACACTGCCAAGTATGTCCCTAGCAAAAAAAATGTCCAACTGCCAATATACGTCATGCCTCTCTTAGATTAATTTCTCTCAGGAGTTCCCAAAACTTCCTGAAAGAGCTTCCATGAAAATTCATCCTTGGAAGACTGAGAGAACATTCATATGATGAGATTCTGGCAAAATTTCTCTCTAAGTAGACAGACAAAAGAGTCTGACAAGCTCTGGTTCACTTGTGGTATCAGATTAAAGCGAAAACCAGGCCAACCTGGAAAGCTGACAATCAAACAAACCAACAAAAAAAAACAAACACCAAAAAGCAATAGCACCTCCTAATCTCAAGATCAAAAGAGTAGATTTTTGCTATAAAAAACTAAAGTTATTTCATTTTATTTTATTTTTTGCTTATAAGAGAGTGTAAGTAATGAACGAGCTTGGCAAAGCCTCTAAAGCTACGAGGAAATGTAGTATTTTCCTGCTTAACACTGAACTTTTTACTCTTAAGACTTCTACCAAAGAGGCTTTGAAACACAGACCCTTGGGCATACCAGCTCTCCCTTTGGTTTAATATAAGAGCAGAGACAACGTCTTGAATTAGCAACTGGAATGTTTCTTCTGAAGAAGTATCTCTCCCTTCCAAAGAACAGATCACCATACTATGTGAAAAATACTGTGAAAAACACAAGACCCATTATAACAAATTAAAAACATACAAACACAAGTAATTTCTGTGATATTTTCGTGTAATGGCTATTAGCATTACTAATGCATTTGTGATTGATAAGCTGTATGTATTTCTCAGGTAAGAGAAGACATAGACAAGTGAATTTCAATTATTAAAACGCCCAATTCTCACAAACCGTGAAGAATCTGTTTGAAAAGCTTACAGAATCTACCTGAAACACAAACCAGGCAGAAATGCTTATACAATACCAGATCACAGATTGAGGAACACACACGAGGCAAGGCAGGCGCACCAGGAAGGACGTGCCCTTAATTGATCAGGACATTGAAAGCACCCAAGCAGAGATTACTTTGCATTTAAACTAATAAAAACAGATCGTTGTTTGTTCCTGCTTCAGTGCTTTCTCTCCAGTCTTCACCATCAGTGCCTGAGATATGTTCTACTGTAAAATAGATATGGGTAAAGGTATTTCAAAAAATGAAGCTTGTTTCTCCAGATATTGCCTACCAGAACTCTCACTGAAATAGGGTTCAGCCCTGTAACTACTTATATATAGATTTCCCTAAATTTACTTTATATATGACTGTAATGAAACATTCTCATTTTGAAGAAATACCCAATGCAGTGTTTGTGAAAGGCCACCCTTAACCTCATTACCTTTAATAAATACCTTTTTTGTGTGTGCTTAATTTTACCATCAAATTAACTCAGGGCAGAAACCATATCTTCAGCTCACTAATGCAGAGAGCCGTGACATCATGCACAAGTGACAATCCAACCATGACAACACTTAGAGGCAATTTTCTCTGTGCTTTTATTTAAACAGAATATTCTCACCTCGATTTCATCCCATTTCAGGTCCACAACTTTCTGTCCCGCCCTTGGCTGCCACGTAGGTAGCGTCACTGTTGCTCGTGAGTGAGGCAGAATGACTTCAGGCTCCAGCGTGGAGGTGACAGGCCTGCTTTGTCGAGGAGATGATGCCTCTGCCTGCTCGGGGAGTGGAGGGCTGTGCCGAGAGAGCTCGCAGTTTGCTCCTTCATAGCCATCACTGCAGGCACAGAGGTAGCCATCCCCACTGCTGCTGCAGTTACCATGGTGACAGGGGTTGCTGGCACAAGGGTCTGAAATGAACTGAGGAAAAAAACCATCATGTAGGTCAATCACTGCATATAAAGGATTTATTTATGAGCTTTAGAAACACTGTAAAACAAGATTCTTTCCCCCTTCTGTATTTACCTTCCAAGCATATATAATAACCAAGCTCATCTTTGATACAACTTCAAGGAAGTAAATTCAAAGGATTAAAGAAGAATATTAACTGATCTATATTCATCGCTGCTCTCAGAATACTCATGCAGAACTCACTGTTAACACATCCAAGCAACATGACAAACATGAAGTAGGAGCATGGCTACCACTCACAATCTGTAATTCCAAAGATTGGAAATTGTAAATCCAAAGATTTGGATCTGTAACTCCAAAGATTACTTTGGAGTAATCTGACCAGGGAAAACACCAAAACCTACAAATGTGAAGCAGCAACAGCAGTGGAAATAGGACACAGAGCTCACACAGGTCACCGTGTCAGGAAGTAGCTGTGCATTGTCAGAGCAAAGTACATCATGTAATCCTATTTGTGGACATAAATTCAATTTTACAACAGCGGGGCCTTTTGCCTGTACTTCATTTAGCGGGTAGCAGTTTCAGAATCTAACTCATTCTGGTGCTGAAAGCTTTGTAACAGGAACTACTGGGGGGAAGCTTCTTTTTAAGGCAGCATTTGTAGTAGATTAGAACAAGACAGAGCTCAGCGATGTGAGAAAAATCCTGCTCTACACTCGCCTACTCTGCTCTGACTCCAGCCTTAGATATATCCACCGCTAGCTTGTACTCCATTTCTTAGGTCATCATTGACTTGAAGGCTATATGCCTCTTCACTCCTCCACGCTGGTTCTTGCCTCTACAACTCACAGAGCACATCTACAGACCACTCCCAAGTTCCACCTGATGAGCCCAGCCTCCTGGGGCAGGACAGACCCTCCATTTGTGGTCACCCTCACAGCGCACACTCATTTAGCACTGCTTTTTGCCAACACATCAGTGTTTTTGTTTACCCTGGAAATAGCCTCCCGACAGCACCTATGAAATTTCTGCCTTAGTCAGAGCTACATCACACTGCTGACTCACTGTCATCACTTCAGCAACTAATACCGACAGGCAGTTCCCTTGATTTGTCCTCACAGTGATCATCAATCCACCACTGCAAACGGACATCATTTGTCTCAACATGCAAATTTCAACCAAGTGTCCCAGCTCCCAAAGCTAGCCAATATCCTGCACAATATTCCACTCTTTCCCTGATTAAGCAATGCTGCTTCTTATGTTATTTCTCACTACAGCATCACAGTTAACGATAGTTTTAACAAATGTTTAATAATAAATAAGAATTACATAAGCTGTATATATCTTTAATGCTATAATTGCCATCGCTCTAGAAATAACCAGGAGTAACTTCACTATTAGCAAAACATATCAGGCACTTAAAGTCCATAATTTCAGAATCTTTGGGGACAAAGTAATTACTGGGTCTACACTTGGAATTTTCCCTTCCCATCTGTTCAAAGCCTTGGTACCAGGGGCACCAAATCCTAATATTAACTCTTCCTTTTCCAACACTGTGCTTTTCATGACCTTGGCTGGAACTTTTCCTTTTAATGGAATTTTTGTGTATTCTAGCCTCTGTAATATCTTTTGAACAGCAGAGGAAGCATTATTATGAATGTCAATTTTGGAAACAGTTAATTATGTCAGATTTTTTGCTGACTGACGCAGAAGAGTTAGAGGCCACACAAGAAAATCTAAATATATCTAATATATCTAAATACTGTTTAAAATATACAGTATGCTCATTTATCTTGACATTCAGTTGTAGCTATGGATGTTATTTACTTTGCATGGGGAGACACATCTCATACATATTAGGTGATGCACTAGACATCAGGCACAAGCTCTGACTCTTCTTCACTTTTAAAAACAAAGTGTATATTGAATTTATATATACTTCACATATCAAGAACCAATACCATCTTCCTGCTTGGCTTCAATAAAACATGGAAAGAGCAAAGTCCAGCCATTAATTAGGAATTCAGCTCATTGCTCAAATCTGTTCTACGCACTGACTGCTAATCTGTTAACAAGGCCAAGCTGCCACAAGATCAAGAATCAAAGTGTGGATTTTTATGACCAGGTTGGCTTATCTCCTTAAAGCTTCTTTCTCCTTCAAATCAACAGAATAAGTAAATTCTTAGAGAACACCTTCTCGATCAGCAAAATCATAGCTATATATGACAGAAAAGAAGGAAAGGGGAAAAGGATTTCAGGAAGGAATAAAACCCAGTTCTGTTGTACAGTTCATCAGCTATATTTTAAGCTTGCTCTCGCTTCCAAGCAGCAGAAATTTTCACAACACTTTCCTATTAAGACTGCTGAAGAAAAAATTGTTTCAAGGTAAAGAAGGCCAAAATGAGCTGCTGAACACTATGCAAAGTCTTTCTCCCACCTGCAACTCTCCTCTTAGATGTGTTAGCACAAAACTAATTCTTGACTCTCTTTTTAATTTCACTTCCTGCCATCACAGACAACACTATACAATCTTCCTGCTTGGCTTCAATAAAATATGGAAAAAACAAAGTCCTGCCATTAATTAAGGATTCAGCTAATTGTTCAAATCTATTCTATGCACTGACTGCTAATCTGTTAACAAAGCCAAGCTGCCACAGCAATGTAACAGGCTGCCATTTCACACTTGTCAGTAGCACCTCATGCCTTCAAAACAATGGTAGGATTTTAAAAGTCAGCAGAGTCCAAAAGCCTCCAGCTTTGACTTCCTGAGATAGTTTCCAGTTACAGGATGAAAGCTGCAGTTTTCAAATACGTAAATTGAATTCAGCTGGTTGGGATTTAGACTAAATGCTTCAGTTTGCATGCATTCAGGTAAAAAACATCTTAGGAGAGATTTATATCAGTAGAATAAACTGGCATCTCTGTTGCTGAAGAAATGCCCTAATACAGAAGCAGAACACCAGGTAGAGATCATGGGAAGATCCACCCTGTATAACCTCCATCCTACATCACCGGCACTGAAAAATGATCAGATGCCTCAAGTTCAAGCCACGCACTGTACATTAAAAGTTATAAGCTTTTGAGTACAATAGAAAGAAAAAAATCAAAATCTACAGCCTTAAGATAATGTTTGTTTGAGATACAATAAAAATGAAAAATTTTGAAACAGTTTTTTTTAAAGCACAACTGAAATATAAAATGTTTGCATACATGTCCATTTATGAAAAGAAAATGGAAACAGATTCAGATCTTCTACATAGCAATGAAAATAAAGATTATCTAGCAATGTAATCTCTTCAGAAGAATGGCTTAGTTATCTTCACCCTGTGATTTAAATGTAGACTGATTCAGACCTTCAATCCACTGAAGTTTTAAATTCCATTCTATCACACGCTCAACATTTACATGAATTAGGAAATGAAAGACAAAAAGAAGAAGACTGAGACAACAACAAAAAAATAAATCAGCTCCTCCAAAGAGAAGAGCGTTGGAAGGAAAAAGCAAAGGAAGAAGCATTGGAATGAGTGTATTAAGCAAATAAATGTATTTTATTTTAAGGAAATATTTTTTGTGATATGACTCAAGTAAAAATTCTGGTTCAATTTCTGGTTCCCAGAAACATCCAACGCAACCTGAGAACAGTCAGATTTCTTTTCCTTTTCTCTGTCTTATTAAATAAAAAAAAGCTCCCTGTCTCTTTTCTAACTGTAAAATTGAGATAATATTTCTTTCCTCTCATCACTTGTGTTATCTGGATAGAACAATTTTTTTCAGAATGTGAAGCACAGAAGGATAGGAACACTCCACAGACAGGAACTCTCAAGCAGGAATGAATACAAGTAAATAAAAGAATGCAATAAATCTCAATACAGCAAGGCTAAGCCTGTCACCTATGGGCTTCATGTTAGTTTCTTTGTTTTTCTTTCTTTCTCTTCTGTTTGGTTTCTTCCGAACACTTCTGCGCTCAGACAAATAGCAGCATTCAGAAGATTACCCAACTATAAGTCCCCAAAGTTAGCAAACATTTCTAACTTACCTGTTCTTTTCTAATCCTTAAAAGACTGCAAAATCCTATTGGTATTGCGTGCATAAATACTACATGTCATCTAAACAAAGTGCCCAGAAAAACAAGCTGAACAGCAGTTTAATTTTCCAACTGTGACCAAACAGAAATAAATTAAAAAATAATAAAAAATAAATACAGTAATTAAAAAAAAATAAAATAAAGCAATAAAAGAATCACTGATGCACTAGGATTATGAGAATTAAAATGAATGAGACTGTCTCTTCTGAATGTAAACACTAAACAATGTCAGGATCTTGGTGTACACAGGCTTCTCAACCTTAAGCATTCCCAAAAATCTACCTCCAATCCCTTTTACATATGTTTAAGGATACTACTGATACTTAAAATGTAGTAACTGTTCTGCCACACATGGAAAACTGAAGTGCCATGATATGGTGAAACTCTCCCACACGGTGTGGTGATCACTTGCACCTGATCATACACACCAAGTCCACATAGGAATCAGAATGTCACAGTTTGCCAAATTAGAGGGAAAAAAGTGTCTACACAGCGTTATTTCTAACTAGAAAATGGCTATTGACTATGAATTGCACCTGGGTGAGCCCTGACTATCCTCCCCTTTGAGAACAGGGAGGCCACAAAGATATAGAAAGTGCAGTCCTTGGAAGCCACAACAATCAGGGCTTTATTCCCCATCCTGCACATAATTTGAGCAAAAAAAAAAAACTTATGTATTGCATAAAACACAGATGTAGCAACTACATTAGAAACAAGAAGCTGCAACATAGAGGGCAAATGAGTCAAGCTCTAGAAGGCTCATGCCAAGAACAGTACCCCACCAAAATGACAACATAGGTCACGTCTTTCGAGAAGTAAACATTTACTGATTTCCTTTAGTGGTTCCACTCAATGCCCCAACCCACCAGGAAAGGCATCAGTAAGTGCAATAACAAGAGAAACCTTTATCGGATAATTTAGAACA